GGAAGACCCTCTATGAGGTGGATTGATTCAGTGACTGGGGTAATCGGGATGGGAGTGTTGGAGACAGTGCGGCTAGCACAGGACAGAGCAGAGTTTAGGGCTGTTGTACAAAGGGTCACTATGCGTCGCAAGCGACTCGGCGGCACAAAACAACACCACCACAACAACATTGAGCAGGAGAGGGAGCTCTGGTTAAGTGGTAAGGATCTGCACTGCCAACCCAAAGGCACTCAGTTCGACCTACCAGCTGTTCCACGGGAGAAGGATGGGCCACCTCTCCCCGTGCAATTCACAAGCTCTGAAAACCTATGGGGGGTCAATTCCAAACTGACAGCACATAACCTTACGCAGGAGGTCAGTGGTCCACAGCGTGCTCTGAAGAGAACCAGAATGATACACAACTCCAGCACGACACATCTCACAGCAGGGAGAAAGATGGGCAGTCTCCTCTTGTTAAGATTTACAGCCTTGGAAAACTAGTGAAGGGTCATTACGAGTCAGAACGGACTGGGCAGCAGTGGGGTTTGGTGGTTTTATCACAGTCATAAGGGGGACTGGTTAGAGCAACCGCGTTTCTCATTTCCTGGTTTATATTCTTAGTCCTCCTACTAACAAGCACAGCTGTGAACCAGAGGGTCCCCTGCTGGCTGCACAAAGGAACCAGCTGTGGAGTTTTACAAAAGGAAACCAAACCCCACACCTGCCAGAAGCCTTGAGGGTCAGACCCCAGCATGACTGTACTTTAAAAGGCGCTCTCTCTACAAAGAACGTCTCACAGGATTCTGATAAACATGAAAAGTTATAAGTAGGGTTTCAAACTGGTTCAAATCCATTTCCGTCACAACTGATGACGGTAAAATTAGAACAGACTCAAATTTTTAAGATTTGAGTGGAGCAAGACACAAAGTGTTAAAAACTGTAGGTTGAAGTCCTGGAATGGAAATGTGAAAGGGGTGTAGTGACCCCTTCAGGAGCCTTGATGCAGGTTAATTTGTGGGATACACATTCAACACGTCGTAGCTGGCTGCCATCTTTGAGCTAGACATGGCTGTTTCTGACTCTGCCAGTTATGACACTTGGTTGTCCTGCAACGTGCACGCTTCTCTTCTTTTCTAAGAGCGAGAGGACTCCTCCATCAAGGCATTAGTCTGTAATTTCTTCCTTTCTGGTTGTCATTCTGGTTCTCTAACAATCTACAAATTCAGACCTGTTCCAACTTTACTTTGTTAGCCATGTCTGGACCAAAAGAACTGGTGTGAAGCTCTGATTATACCATGAATACCAACTGTGAAGAACCCAGAAAAGTGCATTTGGAAATAATTCTTCTGAATCACTGAGTGTGAAATGACCCTGGGGCATCCTTGTGGAAAGGTAGCTCCACTCACAGGAGCCAGGTAAACCATGAAACCACGGTTTTCACCTGCGTACTGTTTTTTTCCATATCGTGCTTTCCTGCCTGACATTACTGTTGCTGAGCTCCCCTGGGGACCTTCCATTGGGTTTCTGAGGCTGTAAATCTTTACTGGAGCAAACTGCCTCCTCTTTCTCCTGTTGTTTGACTGGTGGATTCACACCAACAACCTTTCCGTTGGCAGCCCAACACACAATGCAATAAAGTTCACTGCTTTTGAGTCGATTCCAGTTTGTTTGGACTCTCCAATGGGTTTGAAAGCAGGATTGGCATCCACTTCCTAAATAACGTGCCTCCTGAAACTTCATGAACTTTGATAAATGCTGATAGTTTCAGAGGGGCTTCAGGCCTTTTGTTCACAGGGTCACTATGAGTCGTGCTTGACTTGAAGGCAATCAACAACAACAAGAGACTCTCCATTTCTCTCCCAAGGGGCAGTTGGTGGATTCAAACTGGCAATGTTTTTGGTTAGCAATGTCACACCTACAAACTATGTCACCACAGCTGTCCCTATGACGCACCACACCAGGTTTGTTCTGTGCATGCTCCTTGAGAGGAGGGCTGCGGCTTCTCTGTCCTGCTGTACGTCATACACCTGAAGTGGTACCTGGTACAGTCAGTGACTGGAAGACAGAGGTGGCTGTATGGAGGTCTCCTGTCATACAAGCCGTGTGAGGTGGGACACGGGGTCATAAAGGAAACCAGTGAGGGGCCGTGAAAGGAACAGTGTGCACGCTGCAGAGCCCTTGACAAAGGTGAGGGAGAGAGGAGAGAAGCCCACACATCACCACCGGCTACACAGGTACACACTGCTCAGTGGTTCTTAACTAATTTTTGGAAGAACCCTCAGAGGAGGTAGTAGCCCTGGCAGCAGAAGCATTAGACATAGAGCTGCTACCTGGATGGTCTTGGGTTCAAGCCCACCTGCCACTTCCTGGGAGACTATCCCTCCCACAAAGATTTACAGCTCAGAAAGCTGATAGTGGGAGCGTGGGTCTTCATGAGTCAGAACAGATCCAATGCCGGTGGGTTTGTGTTTTATACACAGGTGGTCTTATTCCTTACACAGGCTCTGGGGCACCACTGAGTTGACTTCTGACTCGCAATGACCCTCATGACAGACTGGAAGTGCCTCATGGGGCTTTTCAGGCTGTTATTGTTACAGAAACTGGTTACCAAGACTCATGAGGTGGGTTCAGGCTGACAACATGTCAGTCAGCGTCATCTCAACCACCATGGCCAAGATTCTACCGAATTAGGTGGTAAAGCCAGGACTCCAGCCAAGGTCTGCAGAGACGGGGCACTTCCTCCTATTCTCCTCTCTCCACTGTGGTGCCCTGATAAGGGGTCAGTGTGATTCTGCTTTCACAGGCACTCAGACAACACCGTGCCCTAAAGCAGAACTGGGCAATCTGCTGAACTAGGATGGTCTGCTGGGAAACCAGCATCCGTGTTCACTTGAACGCTGGTGACCTGAAATCCTTGTGTCATTGATACCCGTTCTGGACACGTGAAAGCCAACAAGCAGCTGACTGAGCTGTCACTCTGGGGCACATGGGCCTGGAGGCAGCACCGAGGCTGAGGTCAGGGCAGGAGGTGGACATCTCCTTCCACGCTGCAGCGCCTTGACTAGGAAGCCCCAGAGGAGGCCTGGGCTGAGCTCCTGGCCTGATAGACTGTGAGGTCCCACAGATAGACAGGATCCTGCAGGGGACCCCCGCCCCCAAGGGCCAAGATCCAGGCTGCCTGGTTCCCGCTGTGTCCCCAGAGCCAACCCAGTGCCTGACACAAGTGAAGGGGGCCGTGTGGCTGTACACGCTACAGAGATGCATGTTACCACTTCCTCCACCGGTGACCAGGCAGGGCCTCTGTCCGCCCCCCAGCTCAGTGGCCCCTCACCTTGAGAACTGCCTCAGCTTGGCCTCGATGCTTCTGTGCCGCATGCACATCCGGGTCAGCGCAGATCCGATCTCCCGCGTGCCACCTGGGAAAGCAAAGAGAGCCAGGGTTGAGTGGTGAGTAGCCGCCCTGAAGCCAGGGGCTTCAAACAGGAACAAAGGACTGGAAAGCAAGCTCATCTCGCCACGCTGCAGACCTTAAACGATGGCTCCCAGTGGCCTGGCCGTCCAGGTACATTGTATCAGGATGCAGAACACGGAATTGATAAATTTACACTTAAGTACACTCATAAACACACATATATGTTGACCCACACAGACTACCAAAATGCAATTCAGAGCAGGTCTCATTATGCTCTGAGGTCTTAGCTCAAGATTTCAGTTGTTGGTGAGAGTCATTGAGTTGACTTTTTAAAAACAAAATAATTTATTAATTTTAATGAAAGTTTACAGAGACTTAGGATTTCCAGTCATTCGTTGTTGCACTTTTCTCCCTGCCCACCCTCTTCCCCTCTAAACCACTCTTCTCCTTGAAAGAAAAAGAAAAACTCTTTCATTGTTATGCAATCCCTCCCCTCAAGTTCACTCCACTATGCAGTCTTCACTCTGGACTTCTCTAATGACTAGAATACCCATTCACATATCCCTTTTAAACAGATCTCTCCCTCTTCTGTTTCAATGCAATACACATCACTCCTCCCCTCCTTTTTTGTCTTCCCTCAACTCTGATGTCAGTCCCATTTTACAACAGTGGCCCTATGCAATATTTGTCCTTTTGTGACTATTTCACTCAACATAAGAGTTGACTTTTGACTCACAATGACCCCCAGGACAAAAGAGAACTGCCTCACAGGGAGCTCTGATGGTCTAATGGCAAGAAGATGCACTGCAATCCCAAAGGCACTTGGTTCGAGGCCACCAGCTGCTCTGTGGGAGAAGAATGGGCAGTCTCCTTCTGTGCAATTACTTGCCTCTGAAAACACGTGAGAGAGTCAGCTACGGGTCGGTTCCGACTCTACGTTAAACAAGAACAACAACGGGTTTTTAAGACTGTAAATGTCACAGAAGCTGGTTACCAAGACTTCTCACATGGCCATGAGGTGGGTTCTCTATTCTGATTTTCTATAAATGCTAACTGATTCAGTTACTGATTTTACAGAACAGGGTTCAGATCTTTTGTTCATAGGATTGCTATGAGTCGGACTCAACTCATCAGCACCTACCAACAAGAAGAAGGAAGCCTGGAGGCACTATGGTGGCGCGGTCTGTAAAGAGCTGCTCTTTAACACAAAGGCAGGGTCACTCTGGTCACTCAAATCCACGAGTGACACCTGGGGAGGAAGATGAGTGACCTCCTTCCATGAAGTTTCCAGGCTCAGAAGACTCACTGGGGGTCAACTATGTGTCGGTTCTCACTTGGCAGCAATGAGAGAGGGAGTTTGTAAGGACCCCTGGTGGCATAATGATTGAACCAGATAGAAAGGTTGCCAGTTCAAAACCACCAGCCGCCCCACAGAAGAAAAGATATAGCAGTCTGTTTTCTTAAAGACTTACAGTCTTGGAAACCAGATGGTACCATTTTAACTCAGTCCTACAGAATGACTAAAAAGTTGAAATTGATTAGATGGCATGGGTGGCAATTTTTTTTGCGTCCCAAGTTTGCTCAAAACAGTTATCTGATATTTAAGGAAAAGCTGCAGATCCTTTCTTCCTCACCTCTGGTAAAGTAATCCTTTTTACATTATTTAGAACAGCTATTAAGGGGACTTCAGTTAATTATCTCCATAACCCATGTTCTAGAAAATCAGAAATTTAGAAAACAGCAAAACAGAGGCAACTGAAATAATGGAATCTCTCTGAAATGGCTGTGGGTAACAGTAGCAAATAAAAAAAGAAAACGCACAGAAAATGGTTTTGCAGACTGCAGTGGAGTGTGATTTCCCGAAATTCCTGCCATTCCTTCCCCAGCCGTACACCCTTTTCTGAGATGGTTTTATAAAGCTTCTCTTCCTCTGCCCTCTGGGAAACAATGCTTTAATCAGCACACACTTGGGCGTGGAGGGCAGTGGGGACCACAAATTGCAAGCCCAGATGGTAACACTGCACCGTAAGCTGGAAGGCCAGGCACTATTAGAAATGTTACGAAAACACTGGAGCTTGTGAAATCTGGGGGAAGTTGACCAGCAATGCACTCTTTTAAACAGACCAAGCCCTTCAGAAAGCCGCAGGAATTTATGGCAGGTTGAACTAAGTCAAGTTAACAGAAAAATAAATGTCCTCCCCCCGCCCCAATGAGCACTGGGGTCACTGTGACAGGTTCTAGGCTCCTCTCTGCCCTCTCTTCAGAAATGCTGACTTGCTGGTCCAGTCAACTCCATGTATTATGCACGTCATTCTGCAAAAGTAGCAGCTTTCTAGAATAATTTACAACAGCAAAACACAATGGCTCGTGACACATATTATATCTTAATATTTACTTTTTAAATTTTTCTTTTAACCTGAAAATTCTTCCATGCCACTGTAACCAGGCTTCTCAGCTGTGGCACTGCTGACATCTATGGCCAGCGGGGGACACGTCGTGCACTGGACAATGTTTAGCAGCAAGCCAAGAAGTCAGCAGCAACCCTGCCCATGTGTGACAAAGGAAAATGTGGCCCCCCCCAGCCGCCAACGTCAAAACATCAAATCACTTCCCACCCCCGAGTCCATTCTGGCTCACCGCAGGAAGTCTGCTTTACAGGGATTTCAATAGTTGTGATCTTTCAATGGAAGCAGATTGCCAGGCCTTTCTTCTGAGGGACCTCAAACTTGCAATTTTTGGATTAGCATATCTGTGTGTTGTTTATAGCCTCCAGGGACCCAAAATATGTCCTCGGATGAAACCAACTGTTTCCTCAGGAGCAAACTCACCCCTGTTAAGATTGTCTGCTTTCAAAGAACCTGGACGGAAAGTAAGTGTCCTCCGAGGTTGACTCTGCCAAACAGTCGAAGGTCTTTTTTAAATGTCCCTTAACTTCAGGCACCTGCATCCCCTGTGCTCCTGTACTGCGGGTGACACGCTGGACCAGCAGAGGGTGCTGTTTCCTCTGTGTCAACTCTCCCCTGGTTCTCTAAGCTCTAACTGCTTCAAAGCCATGATGAACACTATCCCCAGGGAACGAGATCCTCCTTTTCCTGGGCCTTCATTTGATTAAACGTTAATAAGCTGGCCACACAAGGCAACGAGCATGCTCAATTCATTCCTGGGGGGAGTGTAAACCAGCCATTTCTTTCCTGGAGGAAAATCGGCAGCACCCACCCACCAAGAAAGTGTCCCCTTTAACTCAGGAGCCCCGTGGCACAGAGGTTAGAGCACTTAGCAGCTACGCAGGAGGGTGGCAGTTTGAATCTACCAGGCACTTCATGGAACAAAGACGAGGCCTTTGGCTTCTGTAAGGATTTACGCCCAGGAAACCACACAGGGTGGTTCTACTGGGGCCCACAGATCGCGATGAGTCAGAATCGACACAAAGGCAGTGGGTATTAAAAAACATTTTAAACTCTTTGACCCAGTGGCTCTAATCTTAGGACTTAGCTTGAGGAAATAACTTGTGGTTGTTGTTAGGTACCATGGAGTCAGAACTGACTCATAGCTGACCCTCCTGCAGGATTTTAGAGGCAGTAAATTGTTCAGGAGGAAACTGTCCATCCTTCTCCCACAAGAAAATAACTTAGGATGAGAGAAAAAGTCTTATATAAGACCTAAACCAAGCCCCGTGCCACTGAGTCAATTCTGACTCCCAGAGAGCCTAAAGGACCCGCAAGGACCTGGAAATAAATCTAGAAATCAATCCCATCGCAGGGAGCTGGCTGAAGGGGCCGAAAAGCACAGCCACATGACGGATGGGTAGCCAGGCCCTGCAAACGCTGCAGTCATAGTCCTGGGGAGCTGGGCCGCTTGGGATGTGCTCGGCGCTGGTCTGAGAGTCTGCACGAAGGAACAGATGGTGCAGTTACCAGCTCAACTACTCACTGAGGGGCAGGTGGTTCGAATCCACCCAGAGGTGCTGTGGGAGGCCACCAGGGCAACTGGACCCCCAAAAGTCACAGCCTTGAAGATTAGGGAGTAGTTCTACTCTGCACACGTGGAGGTGACCACATGATCGTCACGACCCTTAGAGGCTGATTACATCATTCCCATTTTATTTTTAAATTTTATTCTTTTTTTTGTGGGTACCATCAAATCAGATCTGAGTGGTATAGGAGAAGCTGTCCCTCCTCCAGCAGAGCATATGGTGGATTCGAACCACGTACCCCTGGGATTACAATGCAGCTTCTTGCCACCAGGCCACCAGAGCTCCATCATCATTCCCATTTTACAGACAGAGAAAGTCTATCAATTTGTTCATGGTTCCATTGCTAGTGACGGCACTGGTGAATCAGCGGTAGCATTCGCCCCTTCCATGCAAGAGACATGGGTTCAATTCCTGGCTATTACTTCTCATGTGCAACCACCACGTCCGACGGCCAGTGGAGCCTGTGTGTTCTATGGTTCTATGACACTGAACATGTTTCAATGTTGTTTCTGGACTTAGACTAGGAAGAAAGGTCTGGTTATCTGGAATGAAATAAAAACGCATTGCCAGAGTTGGCATGGCATGGGAGGAGACTGCCTGCCTTTCTCCCTCGGAGCTGCTGGTGGATTTGAACGACCAGAGGCGCCACTTTGGGTCAGCATAGCCTGTGGGTCACAAGGGTCCCGTCCCCAGCCGCTGGGGGAAGGTCAGGACTGGACAGCATGCCCTCACTGTGCACAGCTGCCCTGAGTGGCTGGCTCTAGGAAGTGGGATCGAGGTGAGGCTGTCACTCCGACAACAACGCTCTCTGCTCTGGAGTATTTCTATGCAGTGGAGATGGAGAGGCAGGAAGTCACAGCACAGGACACTCTGCTGAACTTTGTTTGCTTACTTCTGCTCACCTGGAAAGTTGGTACCTTGGGGATTGAGTTACAATCCTTGCTGAGTGACAGAGGTCTAAGGGTTGAGGGGCTGCTCTTTGTCATACAATGCCTCAGTTTCCTCCAAGACACAACATAGAGGTGAGAAGA